AATATTTTTTTTCAATTTGTATTTGACTTTTAAAATATATTAACTCAATTCAGAGTATCAAGTCTCATAATATTGGTTTAGCTACTTGTTGAATATAATTCAATATAAATTATTGATTATTATGTTATATTGTACAACTTTATATACATAGGTATTAAGTTACAAATTTCTAATACTTTTATTCTTATGCTTATAAACACATACAAATTGAATAACTATATAACAAATCATGTTACAAATTTAAAAGTACCTCTAGTTAATTTGTTTTTTAATTTATAATCTCTAATAAATCAATTAGTAAGTACAAATATTGTGAGAACATACCTTTAATATTGTGAGGTTAGCTTTCTAATCATGTCAATAAAAACACAAGGCATAGCATTGATTAAATCTATCGCAACAATTGTTAAAAACCAGGCTTTCTTAAATGTGTTTATTTATTTAATTACTTCCTAACTACCTATGAGAAAATCTATAGTCAATATTTAAAACAACCAATAGTTAAATAAATAAGATTTTTTAAAACTTTTCCTGATCATTTCTCTGTCTATTAATACCCATAAAAGAAAAAAATGACCTATTACAATAAAGCTAACACACATAATTTACATTTTTTTTTTAACCCTACTACAAACGTAAATACTTCTTATTAATTTCGAATCTATACAATTGATTAAATCATGTAAAACTATCATCTGTTATGGCGTTGCGTTTCCTTTGTCCTCTATAAATGTTCCACACTAAATACAATCATGTTTCACTGGTATCTATAACGCACCAAAAGCTTATCTACAAACGTAATAAGAATAAATGGTCATATCTTATTAATATTTTATAAAATCTAATAAATCAATGTTACTCATTGTTATTTCGTATATTGTATGATGTATTTTCTTAGTGCCTATAAACTGTTACAAAACAATAAAATGAAAGTTGAAATGTTAAAACGCATTTAAAAAAATTACTAATATTAATCAATTTTTGGTTTTAAAATCGATTTTATACTGAAACCTGACAAGTAATTAATTTCAAATTAAACATATAGACTATTTTGTTCTTGTTTATGTCAATTACAGAAATTCCATCAAAATTGTTGAACTATTTTTTTGACGTACCTTTTAAAGTTCTATTTTTCAAAATATTTGTTTTTTCTTGTGAAAATTCCAAAAGTAAAAAAAATTATCTTAAAACTTTCTTAGACCAACAAAAACGTATTTATAAGTTTTGTAAGATCAAATATATTTTTATCATACAATTTTGAAGTAATTATAGTAATTGTGTTGCAATAATTAATTTAATATAGCAAATTACCTATCCGATTATCGTGCAATATTCAATAAAAGCGATAAACCATACTCATAATCCATGTTATATTTTTACTGTATATAGTAAAATAATGATATAATTTATTTTAAATTCAAGTTAATCAAAAATAAAATATTTTAAATAATACACATACGTTACTTGTAAAATATATTAATATGAAGAATGGAGATACCGAAACAAAATTACCATATTTGTTCAAAAACTTGAGTTTGAATATCAGTACAATCACATATTATTATTATATTGTTATAAGAATAATATTGACTATAACTATTTGTTGTTAAAGGATCGTGTGGAACGTAGGTATTAAATATATTGTAATGTACTTTGTGTTGTATCAAAACTTTAAACGGCAGATTCAAAACAGATTAGCTTATTAAATTATGACTGTATTATATTTTTATTTCTATTTTTAATCAGCTTATATTATATAAAATAACTTTATTTTTTTTTAATTGTAAATTGAAAACAAAATCATGAACATAATGAAAAATATTGAAGTAAATTTAAAAGTAATAACCTAATTTACTAGTGTATATACACTAGTAATTTAATGTACAGAAATAATTTAGTATATTAAATTATTATTACTACCTATGACATTTTATAAGAATAAAAATAATTTTATTGAATTAGTTTCATCACTTACATATTTTAATAAGAATATCATAGAATATTAAATAAATTAATAAATTATGTTATAATATATAGATTTTAGGCTTCGAATTAGTTATTAAATATTAATAGAAAATATAATTATATACTGTAATTAACCTGATTTCGATTAATCCCTAATCTTAAGTAAATATAAATAAGTACTATTCAAAATTTATGTTTTCTAAATAAAAAAATCTAAAAAATTTACAAAGGTTTTGAACTATTAAACTATTCATTTAATATGTATGATTATAATTTTAAAACTGAAAAATTTACAGATAAATATTTATAGGTACATAAAGGAGATTAAAAATTACTTTTTAGTATCAAATTTATAAATATAACATTTAACTACATTGGTTTTAGTTTAAAAATACTTTTTGGCAGAGTATTTTTCACTCATCTTAACGCAGTATACTGTAGTGTGCCATGATGTATAAAATATTTGAATGTTATTGTGAACAGAGCAAAATTAGTTAACAATAACTTAAAAAATATTTTTAAAAAAATTTTTTAATTTTTCCGTATGTTTAAAAAATTAAAAATTACCTTTTTGAGTAGATGCTATTGATACTTGATTTCTGAATTTTTTGGATGCTAAACACATTTTTATTTTATTAAATATGTTCACGAAAAAAAATAAAGTAATAAAAATATATTATTTCAATACTTTTATGTTCCTCACTGCTTCATTTGGAATCTAAAATATTACTAGAAAAAAGATTGGTCGTAATAATATTGGTAATATATGACAAATTGGCTTACATAATATAAAATATAGAATATTTCTCAATACTTAACCCTATTAATAACTTATTTTTCAGCAATTTTTTTTTTTTTTAAATCGTGTTAGATCATATGAGATTGTTACATAGATTTATATATACGTATATATCTATATATATATTATACTTTTTGTGTCACTTCAACATTTAAAGTCATTCAATTTGTTGACTTGATTATTCTTTTTTTTTTTTTTTTTTTTTTTTTTTTATTGAACTTAAGCCCGGCAACTAGGGCCATTAGCTGTTTGTAGGGGTTATGAATTATGGTAAGGGGTAAGGTTGGTACGGTAGGTTGTATTTTTACGATTGTTACGGTTGATAGCAAACACGTGTATGTGTGGCAAGGTTTTTAACCACTATGATCCCGAGTGGTCACCCATCCGGGAACTAGTAGCTATGGCCGTTACTTACTCTCAGTCGCATTCCGCGACTGGTAACAGACAACGCGCCACACCAAGCCACACACTTGATTATTCTAAAAATGTAAAAGGTTTAATTATTTATTAATTTTCATATTTTCATTGAACATTAATTTAAAAATAATATAAACATAGTTTAAATTAGGAATTATTTTAATGTTATATATAATGAATACAAAATATAAATTAATAATTCAACTTTTAAACTATAACAGAAGACCACCTTATTTTTGTTTTTAAACATAAAAATAATTTTTTGGAAGTAGTGTCAATGGACACTCCCTTCCTTCAAGTGTTCACGTCTAGTAACTATCAACACATTTACTTATTTTATTAACTTGTATATAGATTGTAAATTTTTAACCCGGGAGAGGTTTCGTTAGTCATTATGACCGAAGTTATTTTTATATTGGATATTATTCAATGGTGGATAACTCAATATCTTGGTAATTCCCCATACCTCTCATACATGTATACAATAACAGTTTTACGTCATTTTAGATAAATTTAATATTTATTTTTTTATTTTTACTTTTCTAAGAATAAATATGTATCTTTCTTAATTTATTTTGATTTATTTTGTGTTATTTATTTAGAGTATAATAACCTCACACCCAAATAAGTAAGTAAAGAAACTTTTCAGCATTATTATAAAATGAACTTCTAATAAGTCGGTCAAAAAGACCAACGACACCTCTCTTTAAATTTTTTAATACGTCACCTCTCCCGGGTTAAATAAATAAAAAAAAATAATTTTACTTGGTACTTAATAAAATTAGAATATAAAATTAAATAAATATGATCAACAAATACAGTACTTATTGATTTTTAAAAACAAACTATTTAGAAAAATATTTAAACAGAGACGAACGAGGGCTCCACCTCGTGTCACCTGTAGTGACTGTATTATACTATATTTTATACATATTTTTACAACTAAGTTATGGTCAAAAATACATATAGAATAAAAACGCCACTTATTACTGGCTCCATCAGTATTATTAATCATTATAAAAGGTTTTTTAGACCATAAAATCCATAACTAAATTATTTTACTAAATATGACCTTAATAAATTTAAAACTAAATCTTTAACTAAAAAATAATTTTTATTCTAAAGATTAAACTTTTATCTACATTTTTATATTATTACTAAAAAAAAATTAACATATAATGCACTACTGTATCAGTTAAAAATACCGACTTTTTTTTTTAACTCAAGGTATTAAAATAGTCTAATTTAAATTTAAAATATGCAACACATAATAATTTGACTAAATAATTTCAGTATGCTTTAATATTGTCATTAATATAAATATACATCTCTAATAATATGTTAAGAACTATTCAACACGATTCTCAAAAAACAAAAAACCGTCTCGTTTCTTGTAAAACACTTACCATGAAGATAAATAGATAGCACTAGATCATAAATTCATTAATACTTAATTATTCTATTTATGTTGTTAATAATTTCTTTTATTTCTTTACACAAAAATTCATGGTTATAAAGAATAAAAAATGTAAGTTTTACTTATTTATTTATTTATGATAATAAGGTTAATGAAATACCATCCTAATTATTCGTATTTATAAGTATACTAATAAAAGTAAGATTATTAAATACTAGAATATAAGTGTAATCATAACTTACAAAGAACAATGATTGTCCTTGTTCGTTGTTTCAAACGATTTTACAAAAACATTTTATTACTAATAACAAGTTGAATGGTATTTCAACTTTGACGTTTTAGTGCCTTCTCAATAATATTAATATTTGTTTAATGAGATGTATACTTTGTACTTACACTTACCTATTTTACGGGAAAAGATAGTTGCTGATGAATCCGGCAACTTATTTTCACTCGGATACCACACACCACAGAGTTAGTCGAAATCAAATTATTAACATTTTTTGATGTGCAACCAGCTAAATAACACTCACACACATATATGCGCACTATACCAGCACTCGACAAATGGTGTTACGATCTATAGTGCAACTGGACAACGGCAACATTGATCTGCGTGATCAGAAACATCATATTATTATGACTATCAAAATAAAAACAAAAAACAAAACAAAACAAAAATCTCGTCTTACAGAGCCCTACCGACTACCCGGACTACGGTTCTAGCACTGCCGCCCGCAAATGGAGTACAAAATACCCCTAGCTACCCCGACCCCACTCCATCCTATCCCTGTTATTGGACGCTGGTAGCGCCCTGGTCCCCAAAGCGGGACTTGCGTGGAAACGCTTGGCGCGGGCAACACGTAAACGGCGGTGCGACGCCCGGCAATCTTCTGAGATTATATACCCGGGTTATGTGAATACCAAGCCACAAGGTGGTCGCTCGTGCCGTACATACAACACTTTCAGTTCCTGTACACCTATATTTTTGCTCATTTTCACTACTTTTAAGTGCACGTCACGACGATGCACTACACGACATTAGTTTAATGATTATATGATATTATTGAAAGGGTGAATTCTATATTTTTTTTAGTTAGTCTCAAAATAAATAACGTACTAATTGCAAACGGATATAATAGGCCTATATGATGATATATGCATTATGACATAGTATAAAATAAATGATTTAAGTAAATAAAAATATATTCATTGAGCTATATTCACACTTTTCTCCTTATTGTGTTGTCACCCTAAAAAAATCAACTAAAATTTCGCAATAATTTTTTGAAATTTTTGTTAATAAATATATTCAAAATATTTTCAAAACAGTAGAATGTATACATACTAACTATGTGATATTATAATAATGTGTAGCTTATCATTTATTTTATTACTATTCTATAAACTAAACAAATATTTGTTTACTTATTTTATTTATAACTAAGTACTTTTTAATATATTTCAAAATTTTTAACTATGAAAAATACCTTTTGAAATTCTAATTTAAAATACATTTATCGGTACTTTTGAGGTAAAAAAAATAATACCTAAAAATACTAAGTTGAGTAAGATCGTCAAAGTAAAATGTTTAATTAAGGTAGATTTACACATTTCTACGTGCTTCTTTATTGTGTTATCTGAAAAACGATTTATAAATTAAATTGAATTAAAACAAAAATATCTATTAAGCAGAACAACTATTTATAAATTAAATGGATCCATAAAGTAAGTTAAGTACATTTAATTTAAAAGCATGATAATTCGTGTGATTTGAATGATAATTATAATTGGAGCTTGAAAAAATTGAAACCCACGTTATATTTTTTATTTTTAAGTGTTTATAAAAACAAGTTGTGTGAAAATAAATTTTAAAATGTATCGAGTATAAAAAATTTTAATTATGTTATCTTGTATTAAATATAACTTTTGTTATTACTTGTTAATACAAACTTATAGATACATTATACAATATTATTATTTAAAATTGTTTTTACAATAAGAACATTCAAAAAATAAATTATTCTGAGAACAGTCCAGTTTAAGGTTTAAAAATAAATTTTCTAAAATGTATTAAAAAATTTTTGCAGTTTATCTATAATTGTTCATACTAAAAAATCACTAGGAATGATAAAATATACATATATACTCGTAGATGCACTATTTAAAATACTAACAAAACCCTATTTATAATCAATAAATAAATTATATTATTATGATAACATAAAATTATAGAGACTTTTATTAACTATAATTTAAGTTACATTTGCTAAACAAAATAATATATGAATGTTATATAGATAGATAACACTCGAATGTTTGGTAAAATATTTAATTTTAAACTAAAATAGATAATAATTGTGTATCATTCATTATATTAACTAATCTTTAATGAATACGTATATTGCTGTTATACCTATACAATAACTAATCATATTTTATCTTTCAAATAATAAACAAACAGTGTAGATAGTCATTATTTTAAACGACTTGAGACAATTTATAACAAAAGACATTGATATTTGAATGTTTAATGGATTAAATACTTAATAGTATGTCATTGCTAGGTGTTCCATAATAATTAACCCAGTTTTAACTATTGTATAATAATGAAAATCATAGATTAGTGGTAACTCGTAATATTATGATCAGGGACGTCCACAAATAATCATTTCAGTGGTTCCAACAAGTTTAACAAATTTTTAATTTTTTAAATCGATTTTATCATATATTATTGATTATTGCAATTTACAAATAATGAAATCGTTATAAATGTTATCTTATAGTTTTTATTGAAATATATTGGAACACCTTTAACTTTCTTTTTTTTTATCTCATAATCTAAATTATGTGACAAATTATGATTATTTAATAATAGTAAAGATGTAAAATCATAACTTTTACCGGACATAGTATACATATAATAAATTAATCGCAGTATTTCATCTATTCAAAAAAATGAACTGTAATAAAATGTTGAATTTAATGAGCCAACACGATGAAAATTTACTATGGAAACGAACATAACATCATTTTAAATGGAATAAAATATCATAAAAATGCTGTTAATAAACCGCTTATTTATTTTTACTTTACTTAATTGTATACGGTTATATAATAAATTGTATTCGCGTATACAATATTCTACATGTAAAATTCATCAATTATTATTGATGTAATGAGTTATTTACTGTGATTTTATTTTTAAATGATAAATAGATAGTAAATCGATTGTATATTGTTTACGAAAATTTTAATAGTATAATAATATCTGCAATATCATAATGCTATTGTAAAAATTATAAAAATAAATATATTATAGTCATTTTTTGCTTATAACATGAGTAAATTAGGTACATATATTAACTGATACACTTTTAAAAGTTTTAACATCAAACATTCATTATTTTCAAAACTATTAACATTTTTAGCATTATTTTTCGTAGCTAATTTTAAGTCAAAATTGATTCTTTTGAAAACAGATTTTACATTAATACAGAATTACATAAATATTAGAATTTTTTTTTTCTGTTTTTCCAAAAAAAGTTACTGAACTTTTCACTCCTTTCCACTTTTCACGTCAATAACAAACTAAACACAGCCATATATACCCGGAAAACCACTACTCTTAATATTGAAGATTAAAACAATTTTTTTTTAAAAGAACCTTCATATAAAAAAAAAAAAAAATTATCATTATTATAAAAGCAAAAAAATTATCGTTTTAATTAGAATCTAAAAGTACAACATTAAAACAAAAATATTTGTTAAATACCGGTTTTTGACTATATAAATATTATTATTTTGTTAAAATTCAAAAGTAAATAATGGAAGATACTTAGATACTTGAAATGTATACCAATTTGAAAAATAAAAATTAGTTTCAATAAAAAATGATTGAATGGGGGTTTTATATGATACCTATTATGCTCAACATTCTAAAAACTATAAACAAGTCACGAAAAATAATAGACAAGATAAAATCATAACATAAAAATATTCAATTTGAATAGGTACGCATTACACTTGATAAATAAAACAATATATTATTTTCGCTTTTAAAATATTGTACCTCACAAGTAAAACGCAACCTAGTTTCAGGCACTGTAGTGCTCTCCTCTACATTACAATCAATCAACTTTATTGCAACGAGTGTTCAACCGGACACTCGGACACTGTTCTTTCTATCGCCGTCGACCTCTGTTGTCGTTTAATGTCGGATCTACGCGAGCGCGCGAGCGCGCGTATATATATTATGTGTGTATAAATGTGGTTTCGTGCATATTTTTTTAGATTATTATTTATTTATTTTCTAATATTATTTTATGATAATTCATGGAAAAAAATCTGTGTCATATATAATTTAACAACACTCGAGTAATACAATTGCACTTGTAAAGTAAGTAATTCAATAGTATTATTGTAGGAAAAATAATCATAATATATTAAGATTAATACTAAATAATAAGATATATCCAATTATATTGGTCAGGTATTGTTCATAACTTTAAAATTAATTTTAAAAAATATAAATAAAAGATACGTATAAGACATGAACTGATACAATAATTATTCTTTAAAAATGAATAACTAAACTCCGTACGTATAAAAATTGTATTGAATTTTTAATGAGCTATAAAAATAAAGTGAATAAAGTATTTTTCGACTATGATACAATTATGACAGTATGATAAAATATAAAAATATTTAGTATTTTGAACTTAAGAAAAAGTTTAACAAAGAATTTTTATTTAGTGTGAATTGTATATAAAATTAATACTTGCACATTAAAACTCGAATAAAAGGTAAAAAAAAATAAATTAGTTTAAATATTTCAGTAGATACCTAACCAAACTTCCTAGCCAAAACAAAATGATATAACACAATGCATATATTCTTGCATACCATTATTTAACGACCGATAACATTTTATTACGAGTATTCAGCCTTAGGGAATGAATTACAACATGGCTGGCATTTTGAAGAAAAAAACGATATAGAAGATAATTAAACGATAAGCGTCGAACGGGATACAAGTACTGGTTCTACAGGTTTTCCTATTTCATTCGTGTAGCCCATGATCTCGTACTCAAGTGATGAATACTCGGCTATAGATAAAAAAAATATAACAATAATAAAAATATAGGAGTTGAAAATTCAAATATCTGTTATTTGCAAAACTATTTACCATGGATAAAATCAAAAATTAAATTGATAATAAATAAATTCAATTGAAAATAATAATAAAATTATAGCTTGATAAATATTTATCGGATGAATTACGTTTTCATATTTTTTTTGTACTGTATAATAACAATTCATTGAAAAATCTTGCTTTTTTAAAATATAAAACTAACATATTATATAATTTTAATGTATTTTTGAATCAGTCATAGCATATATAAAGAGTGATTCAACAAGCATGTATGCCACCTATTTCTTTTTCAATAATGCAGTTATTCAAAATCTGATTTTTGGAATTTTTAAACATACCTATTAAAATACCATATTTTCAAATAGTTCAGTTTTTTATTTCTTTTTACTAGTGTAGTATAAAAATCTATGTAGTTATTTGAAAATATGATCTTTATAAGCATTCTTAAAATTTCTAAAAATCAAAATATGATTAAATACATTAATAAGTAAAAAAATGAGAATGATAATTTATTATTTTTGGTGAATCACATTGTAATGTATTTAAATTTAAAATAAAA